TTTGGGGGGGGGGGGGAAGCACAGGAAAAGCAGAGAGACGTCCCAGACGTTGAGAGAGGCCCCCAGAGCCTTTCTGCTCACAATAGACAAAACTCTCAATTCCAGAGCAGTAGATAAGATCTCTGATGAAGTACGTGGATCACCTCATATAACAGGGAAAATTACGGGCTGTGAAACATCTCCATTTTATATCCAGATAGTGGCACAGCTCATGCCCCATGTCCTATAAATGTATAGATTCTAGGTTTGTTTACCCTAGTAATTCTAAACCAGGAATATCCTGCTAAAAGCCTTCTATGTATAAGTACTCTTTTTTTTTTAAAGCAAATACCGTAGTTATTAGTAATATTTATTATCATGCTTATAAGGAGATTAGACCAGGTCTTCTGCCTTCTTCTTACCTGAGAGAGCCTCCTAACCAACAGGAAAAAAAAAAAAAACTGCTTTAACTCTTTCTTTTCCAACAGATTAACTCATTTAAATTCAAATTCAATTATTTACTTTTTTTGTACCAACAAGGTAAAATATATTAAGAAGGAACTTCAGACATGTTTTTAAAAATCTTTTATTTCATTTGGTTTGGTTTAGTTTTGTTGGTAGGAGGTGGAATGAGAAATATGGTAAATGTACAGTTAATATAAATATATTCTCACCACCAAGAGATATCCACAATAGCAATTCCTTGTATTTCTTTCATGTGTGTTTGTGTATGTGCATGTCATATACAATTCTTTCTTATATTTGACCTCAGAATATTTGAGAAATAATATGATAGTTTTAATTTTCAATTTTCTCTGTTTTTCTCAACCCAACCCTCAAATCAGGATGGAGATCCAGTTCGTCCAGGAGTGGCCATGACTGATCTTGCCACTGGCCTATATGCATATGGAGCCATTATGGCTGGATTGATACAAAGATATAAAACTGGAAAAGGACTCTTCATTGATTGTAACCTACTGTCATCTCAGGTACCAATCCAAATAACGTTTTATATATTGGTGTGAAAACATGTATCTGGGTTATGCTCTTTCATATCAAATCCTATGGTTGGTTGTGCAAAAAACAAAACAAACCAAAACAACAGAAAAACTACAAACGACAGCAGCAAATGCTGTGCTGTTTTGGTGTACTAAATTGTTATCATATTAAAATAAATGGACTCTGAAGATTTTGTCATGTTATAGACATGGCTGTTGAACCAGAATTTTAAAGATTGTTTTTATTAGAATAGGTCTATTACTACTTCTGAGACAAGAGTACAGATGTTTCTATTTTCTTGTCACGTGAGCTCTGTAACTTCTTTTTACCAGAGTTAGTATCTTCATCTTTTGTATGCTATGAACTCTTTGGATAGTCTGGTGAAGTCTGTGGACCTTTCTTCAGAATTATTTTTTTAAATGCATAAAATGAGATACTTAGGATTACAAAGGAAGCCAATTATTTTGAAATGTAGTTATTTCAATGTAAAAACCAATTTTGTTTTATAATAACATATATGATTTTTTACTAATACTTTAAACCACAAGATCTATCAGTGGGTCCAATAACTATTGCAATTTTGAGGTAGTATTGAGCATAAATGATATCTACAATAACTATCAGATGATATGAAAATATGTATAATATTGATTGATGATGAAATCATAGGTCCTGCTAATGCTCCTGTGGCTTGTTGCCTACATTCATAATTGAAGAAAATGCTAAATTTTAGTTAAGAGCTTGATGAAAATAAAGATATAATTTTTTTCCATTCAAATTAATTAGTTCCCAGAATTCTTTCCATAGACTTCAGATTAATAACGCCTGGTTTAGACAGTTATCAATTATGTTATGCTGAATACTAAACTGGTCTAATGAAAGGGTTAACTCACTCCCAAATTAACATTTTGCTTCCTTTTTACTGGATCAGACCCAGATGCTGTACCACATGTGGACGTTGATTCTGAATAGATAATTTTTCAGAGATAGAAAAAAAGAAAATATCTAATCTGTGCAAGGAGACATTTTAGTGTGGGAAAAATTACTTTATAGACAGAGACCTCAGTTGGGAATTTCAGATTTAAATGGCATACATGGGAAAATAATAAACTTAGAACACTACTTGGGAGAATTTTTTCTCTTAGAGAAAATTAAGGAGGTGTTCAGGGGTAAAAAAACATCAATATGGTTGAAGGTGAAATACTACATATGGGTTTTCAACCCTAGCTTTGAGTCACAGTCAGAATTTTAATGGTTATATAAAAGGGTAAAAGAACTCTCTCCAAATGAATGATCTAGCTCCTTAACAGAGAAACAAAGATGTTAGTTATGGGAAGAAGCTGAAAGTCTTTTCTACTCTTCCCTGATTTTATAGCTGTAAGGAACTTGAGGTAGGTTAAGTGACTGGCTAAAAGTTGTACATCCAACAAGTATGGAAACCATGAAGGTTTCATGGATGTGTGACCTGTGCAGTCAGAGGGGGCCCTAGGCTTAGTTTAAAAGCTCTGCTGTCACTGCTTTGAAATTCTTCATAATTTTTTTACAAGAGGCCCTACATTTTTCATTTTGCACTAGTACTCACAAATTATGTAGGTGGTCCTGGATTTGGGATCCACTTAGGTCTCCTGATCTCTACCTAGACTGCTTTACTTACAATATGTCAATGATTAATTAATTAGCTTTGGAAAAAATTCTCTTTTAGAGTATTATAGACTTTAATGTCTTCTGGCACTCAACACAGTAATTCACAATGTGAAGGTGTGTGGTTCCCTGGGGTTGGGGGCGGAAGTGGGTGGAATCACTGGTAGGGCTGTTTCAAAGTGAGGGATACAGTAAGTGCAAACTCATGCATACATACACACATACATACATTCCAGCCATTTTGGGTGTGTGTCTATATTTATTGTTCTTGTTGCTCCTTGAGATGGTAAGTTCTGTGAGTGCAGGAATAATGTTTGTTCTTGCTTATAGTGGTATCCTCAAAGCCCAGCCCAGTATTTGTCAAATGGCAGGCTCTCCCAATCTCTTGAGATCAATTGGAGAACCACTGTTCCAATGGGTATGTTTCATAGCCCTTATGTTTGCTAGGGAAAGTTAGAAAAAGGTAGAAAACCATTGACTTAGGATAAGTACTTGATAAAAACAACTAATGATGAGATGATTTGCTTTTGGCAAATATGGTAGCAGTGATTTAGCCTATTGTGTCGTAGCTAATCTAGTCAAAGTTTGCTAAAATTATAGTGTAGTTAAGACTCATTAACTGCTTTTTTTAAATTTAGGTATAATTGACATATAACATATATTGGTTTCAGGTGTACAACATAATGATTCAATATTTGTATGTATTGTGAAATGCTCACCACAATAAGTCTAGTTATCTGTCACCATGCATAATTACAAATTTCTTTTTCTTGCAGTGAGAACTTTTAAGATCTACTCTCTTAGCAACTTTCAAACATGCAATACAGTATTAATAATTATAGTCACCATGCTATACATTACATCCCCATGACTTATTTATTTTATAACTGGAAGTTTGTACCTTTTGACCCCCTTCACCCATTTTGCTCACCCTCCCATCCCCTTCCTCTGGCAACCACCAATCTGTTCTCTGAATCTATCAGCTCAGTATTTTTTTAATTAATTTTTTTTTTTTTTTAGATTCCACACGTAAGTGAGATCATGTGGTATTTTTCTTTCTCTGTTGGACTTATTTCACTTAGCATAATGCCCTCCAGGTCCATCCATGTTGTCACAAATGGCAAGATTTCCTTCTTTTTTATGGCTAAATAATATTCCTCTGTCTGTGTACGTTTTTTTTTATCCATTCATCCATCGATGGACACTTAGGTTGTTTCTGTATCTTGGCTATTGTCATTAACTACCTTTTTAACAATAAAAATCTATTTTGCCTTGTTATAGAGCTATGCACTTTCACATCTACTATTTTATATGATCTTAATAATAATCACTTGAGGTAGGTAGATAAAACAGGAACTTTTATTCCCATTTTGCTTATAAGGAAACTGAGTTTAAGAGAGGTTGACCTGCTTGAGCAGCAGAGTCACAGCAAGACCTCTAGTTTCTGACATCCAGACTGGTTCTCTTTCCCTCCTTCATGAAGGAAAAAAGCTTTGGCACTGAGGGACAGGCAACCTCCAGCTTTCCTGTGGTGAAGCTCCAGGGGAGAAGGCAAATTGAGTAAGATGCAGAGGAAGCACAAGAGCACTCAATGACAAGGAAACACATAGTAAGACCTCCCCTCCCCACTCCCTGCACAAGTATGCCAAGAGCCACAGTAAGATAGTGCAGCAAAGTGGGCTCTTATGGATCATTATCTAATCATGTTTAGACCCAGTGAGTGAAAACTATCATGGAATTTAACCTGACAGACAAGCGTTTCTGTTGAAATAAGAGAATTTTGAGAAAAATAGGATTTGAAGTCATGGGATGACTGGACTTTTTTGTTTCAGCTCTAGTCAACTGAGCACTCACTGTGTCCCAGGCTAGCTTGAACACAGCTGTTCAAGTTTCAGTAGTAGAGTCAGCCAAGTCATATGGGAGAGTTGGAGGTGATATATAGTTCTCCGTGGTCCTCTAAGAGGGTTGTAGAACCTGGTTGGGCCAAGATTGTTAAAGGCCTCATATATGTCATGCTTAGGAATCTGGATTTTAACTTCTCAAGGCTTCTGTTTCTCTATCTATAAATTCTGTTAGATGATGGTCTTTTCAATCAAAGACTAGGTCTCTATGGATACTTGCTACAGTTGCCACATTCAGAATAGCCTCTGAGCTGTGAACAGTGTTAGAGAGTTTCAAAGGGCAGTGGTATGTATTAAAATTGATGCTGAAGCCTACCTGAAGTGCAGGGCAATGTGTGAATAGGAACATTTTCATTTTCTGGACCCACTGCAGCCCAAGCTCTGTTTTTCTCTGATTCTTTGCCTCTACTCTATTCCTTGTCTCTGGACTCTCTCTGTTCTTTTCATGTGAGCTTCACTAGCCTTGGGCATCTCTTTTCTCTGTTTGTCTTTTCCTCACTTGTCTTTCTTTACTTTCCTGTTTTCATTCCTGTTCTGTGCTCCCTGCCTTTCTCTTTGTCTCTCCGTTTTTCTCCATCCTTCTTTATGTGTTGCTCAAGTTGTAGCAGTTTTGGTTCCAGATCTTACATCCTTTTACCATACCACTCAGGGAAGTTTCAGAATCTTTTAGTAGTTCCCGTGGAAGAAAAAGGACGTTTCCTCTCCTAGAAGTCCCAGAAAACAAGCCCATATATTTCACTGGGTTAAGTGACCATTCCTGAACCGTTTAACGAGGCCTGAAAGATAGAATATGCTGATTGGCTTAAGCCCCTCCTGGTACTAGGGATGGGGTTAACTCCATGCAAACCATACAGCTGTGACTGGGGAGAGGTGATCTCCCCAAAGAATGGTGTGATTATTTCTTGGCCCAGGAAGGGGAAATGAATGTTCGGGAGCCAATCAACAAATGTTCACTATCATTTGGTTGAACAAATGTTGGTTGAACGAATGTTCAACCAGCACTAACATGCTGGGTTGTTTTGAGAATCTAATGCAATAAAGGATGTGGAGAATTCTTTGTAAATTAGAAAGTACTCTACTGATGACTAACATTAATGTTATTAAGTTATTGAAAAAATATTTCACAGTGTTTTAGAAATGTGCTGAGATTAAAAAGGCGGTTGTTGACATAATTATTTTATTATAATTATTATAAATTTTCATAATGGAGAAATCTTGACTAACTTCACTTAGTCTTTCAATTTAAGGTAACATTTATAGATTCTAGATCCAAAAACCAAATCATGAAATGATTAAAATCTCCTTCATGTAAATGGAAAATGCTATTTCTGGATACTTTTCAAAGTAGCATAATAGGAAACTTCACCTTTTTTTAATGTATTCATTTTCTTTTTTTATATAAATGTTCACGTGCATTAAGCAGATGACATTTGAACTTAATTTCAGCT